CTTTCTTTCCTTTTCTCTCTCTCTCTCTCTCTCTCCCTTTCTTTCTCTCTCTCTCCCTCTCTCTTTCTTTCTTTCTCTCTTTCTTTTTCTTTCTCTCTCTCTCCCTCCCTTTTTCTTTTTCTTTCTTTCTCTCTCTCCCTCCCTTTCTTTCTTTTTCTCTCTCTCTCCCTCCCTCTGTCTTTCTTTTTCTTCCTTTCTCTCTCTCTCTCCCTCCCTCCCTCTTTCTTTCTTTCTTTCTCTTTCTCTCTCTCTCCCTCCCTTTCTTTCTTTTTCTTTCTTTCTCTCTCCCTCCTTCCCTCTTTCTTTCTTTTCTTTCTCTCTCTCTCCCTCCCTCTTTTTCTTTCTCTCTCCCCCTCTTTCTTTCTTTCTTTCTTTCTTTTCTTTCTTCTTCTTCCTCTTTCTTTCTCTCCCTCCCTCTTTCTTTCTTTCTTTTTCTTTCTCTCTCTCCCTCCCTCTTTCTTTCTTTCTTTCTTTCTTTCTTTCTCTTTCTTTCTTTCTTTCTTTCTTCCTTTTTCTTTTTCTCTCCCTCTCTTTCTTTCTTTCTTCCTTTCTTTCTTTCTTTCCTTCTTTTTCTCTTTCTTTCTTCCTCTTTCTTTCTTTCCTTCTTTCTTTCTCTAAATGAAAAGTACAAAGCAGGTGTGGGATCTGGCCCTTCCCCACGTTGCTGAGGCCCTTCACTGCCATCTATCTTAGTCTTATCCATTTCTTGATCCCACAGAGACCCTTGGGTTCTCCAGGAAGCAGGGGACCTCACGTCCCCACATTATATACGGTGGTGTGTGCTCTGGGGATAAAGCTGTTGGGCTTTTCTTGGGTAAGATGAGAATATGGAAACCTTCAAGTTGCTCCCCCTAACAAATACACATTCCTGCGATCCGTGCATCTGGGGACGGGACAGGAGGGTCAGGATTAGGGTAGGAAGCAGATGATCGCCAGTGAAGTAGCAAAGCCATGTTCCCGATTCCATTAGAAATCAAACCGTCTCCGTCCCCAATACAAAGCCATTGAGTTCCTTAATGATGACTCCCGTTAGGGTGGAAAGGAAGCTCCCACTCGTTACGATAAGGTGATTAAGTTGCCAAGTGGGACGAAACAATAGACACAGCTTCTCAATACTACACTTGGACCATCCCGCGCTGAGACGGAATGCTTTGGAAATACGCGCATTTGGCTCTCTGACCCCAATGAACCCGGTCCAGAGCCAGCTCTAGCACAGGCACCCTTGCAAGGACCGCAGATCAGCCCACCTTCTGGGGTTCCGGAGGACGATCACTGTCTCACTCCTCTCTCCATCGTACTCCACAACAGCACTCTCATGTGAGAACCAGTACAACCTTTTTTTTTTTTAATGACGAAATGTTTCTCCGGAAGTGTCTACGACTGCAGGTCAAATCTGTACTGCACCATCAGGAACTTGTTAGGCATTACTCTGCAGGTGCAGATAGTCCCGGGGGGTGGGGGTGGGGGGGTGCAGGTCCGCAGCTGGCCAGCAGGCACCTGCAGGTGCAGCACGGCTTCTAGCTGCAGAACAGACGCACCGCTGAGTCTGGGTTCGTGTCGTAGCACTGGGGACGCGGCGGTTTGGGAGGCGCAAAGGAAAACATCGCCTCCCAGATGAGGTCCGTGACGGGAGTGTCCCGGGTACGCCCACTCGGCCAACCCCTCTTGGTAGTAGCCAGGGAGGATTCCTAGAAAGTTAAATAGTTAAACAGCATCCCTCTTGATAGGTGCCTTAGAGGGATATTATCAGGTCAAACCACCTGCAGCCTTGTATCCTCAGAAAGGAGATTCCAAAGACGGTGCTGTGTGGGTGGGGTTGGGTTGGATCGGGGGCGGCGGTGGAGGGGGGGGGAAGCAGGGGAAACCACCACGAAGCTGGGAGTCAAGTGCATCTCATCACTCCAGCTCTACCGCTGTCTGAGAAGCCCCTGGACAGAGGATGAGAAGCCCTCTGGGCCTCAGTTGCCCCATCTGTGCACAGGGCCTTTGCCAGATGGGCTCTAAGGTCCCATGTACTGTTCACATCCTATTATTCCCTGTCACGATACTCATGACACAGTGTGTCATATGAACAAAATGGACGGTTTCTCCTTGCCCACGGCTGTATTTCTGTGCAAGTCACGGGGGGAAAAAAGAGAGCCTTCTCTCTTAATCCTCTTGCTAGCTGCACAAGGTAACAGCGACGATGGTAATAATTCATAAGAGGCAAAACATGCGTGTGGCAAAAAGAAACGGCAGAAAGATACGAGAGAGAAGCCTTCCCTTCTGAAGGCAAGAGATCTGAACCTTTTAGTTCCAAGTGGGAGAAACTTCTAGAGAACACCTGCTATGAAGCACTTTTTCTTGGAGCATCACAATAACCGCATAAAATCTTGATGTGAAAATATAATTAAAAATACATACACATTATGAAAGATAAAGTAAAAATACAGAAAAGAGTCAAAGGGTCACTCACCCTATGAAAACGGCAGGCTGGTTTCTTTTCACCAAGAAAAAGGACTAATTTCTTTGGAAAACTGGAAGAGAAAAAGATTTTAAATGAACAACATGAAGTCTGTATTAGAGGTCAGTGCAGGTGTGCAGGCCTAGAGATTATAAAAAATCCCAGCTCCCAGCACTTGGGCACTTAGTAGGTGCATGGCAATTGTCTGATGGATGGTGGGCATCTGATTGTTTGGGCAACCACATGGATTTTGAAAACAGGAGCTTTCAACATTTAATATGCAGAAAGTAAGCATGTGCATGATGTTTTTTTTTTAAGATTTATTTATTTTTCAGAGAGAGAGCACAAGCAGGGAAGGGTCAGAAAAGGAGAGAATATCCGAAGCAGGCTCTGAGCTGACGACGGTGAGCCCGACGCGGGCCTCGAACCCATGAACTGTGAGATCATGACGTGAGCCGAAGTCGGGTGCTAAACGGACTGAGCCACCCAGGCGCCCCGTGCAAGATTCCTTTATCACGAAATGCACGAACCTTGTGATGTATATGGTGGTGCCCGGGAAACCATTTTTCAGGTGGATCTGTTAAAATCCCATTTTTCAGGTGGACTGTCTGTGGTCCCACGGTGGGGCTAACCGAAGATGCCTTAATGAAGTGTACCCCATAACTGCCCTGTGCCCTCTCCCCACACCCCTTCCCCACCACAAAATGTACACCCACAGCTCCGTGCACCCCCCGCTGAAGTCAGTAACCCCACAGGGATCTGTAATTGGGTTCCTATGGGAATGTGGACTTGGTCGAGAGGCGCTGGAGGCCACATCTCGGGCCGACTGAGTAATCCCACGAAGAAGCCACGGCGTTTTGGGATCAAGTGTGGGAAAGAACGGAGAGGATGTGAATGTTGGAAGCGGAAGCCTGAAAGACGAAGGGAGATCAGGGGTGACTTCAACAGGCTGTGTAATCTCTGTCACATAAGGAACTTTGCTCAAGATCCAAGTTTTTAAAAATTTCCAGAGACTGTTTCAAAGACGCCTTTGCAGGCTTAGGAGGGAACGTGAGGCTGAGCTGGTCTAGCTCCCGAGAGTGGCAAGTTTCACATGATCCCAGAGCATTTGGGAGTAAGTCTACGAGCTGGAAGAAGCCACTGCTTGCTTCTCCTCTCTTGCCCTACAAGGAAGAGAGCGCTGTGGCCGTTCAGACAGTAGGGACAGTCTCCTCCTCAGGACACACACGGGTGGCAGATTCCCAGACCCAGTGTCTCAGAATCTCCGAGGCGCACCTCCCAGCCACAGAGAGAGAAACCTGCCTCCTAGACTTTCAGGCTGTGCTGGGGGACGGGAGGGCTCCCCAGACCATGTGGTTCCGCCTCTGGAGAAGTTCACGGTCTACCTGAAAACACTCCAGGGGAACAACGCAGGAGCAAAAGAGGGTCCAACGCTAGTGCCATCTCTGAGCACCTTCTTTTTAAAGCAACACTTTAATAATCTGCTCACATAAATTAACCGTTTTCATCCTCACGGTGGCAAGATGTCTACAGTCAGAACCACAGGGATCAGAAAAGCTGATTTTCAGAGTCAGACCCGAGTCGGCATCTCAGGTCAGTCGCACATCAGCTGTGGGACTCAAGGCGCATACACGCTCAGGACCCTTTCTTTCCTCAGGGGCAATACTGTACCCACCGTGTATCACGTTTCAAGCTCTTGGTGGGTGGCTTGGGACGTAGAAGGCACTTAGGAAAAAGAAAACACTTTGACGCTAGGTGACACAACACATTTCTCTGTCTGCAACAATCCAGAAGACACAGGAGAGATTTTTATAATTTCGTAATTTATCAAAATGTGAGCACCTGTATTGCATTCTCTTTCTCTGCAACCCCTCAAAATTAGATGAGACAAATGAGAGCAAAGTAGAACATTTACCGTGAACAATTAGATAATATACACGAGGAAACAGCCCAAAGGGAGCAAATCAGCAGGCCCCACTAACAATCACTATGCACATTTTGGCTCACAAGGCTCTAGGCTCTGTCCTACACTCAAGTGCACAGAATTTATTAGACGTATACTTAAATAAATACAATTATATACATACCTATTGTTTAGTCATAGCATACTATGGTAGTATTCATATTGTTTTTCAGCCTGATAATATTTTACTTATTATATTACAAACCTCTTTTCCTATCAATAAATCCATCCCCATCATAATTCTTTTTAATTTTTCAGTTTAAAAATGTTATTTCTTTCAAAGCAGGCTTCACGCCCGGTGTGGCGCCCAATGTGGGGCTCAGACTCACAATCCTGAGATCGACACCTGAGCTGAGATCAAGTGTCATACGCTTAACTGACTGAGCCACCCAGGCGTCCCACCATCAAAATTCTTAAACTACAAGAGCAGTGCGAGGAAAGAATGAACCACTCGATAAACAGGGGCTAAGTGTACAGTCTACCAAAGTGCCCCACATTTATGAGAAATGTGGTACCACGTGCGGTAGCACATGGTTCTTTCCTTTGACATTTTTGTCAAGATACAGAAAAAGCAGACGATATAAACACCAGAGGTCTTCACGAAAAATTGTTTGGGTTTGAGTGGGTGTCCCTTAGAAGACTACAAACCGGCCCTAACACCACAGGGAATAATATCACAAAGGACAGCATTCAGCGAGTTTCCAATCTACCGGAAGGGGACAACGCTTCAAAGCCCGGGGCCAATGATGGATAGAGGTGTCTACTCCAGCCACAAAATCGTAAGTGTGTCCTGTTTCAGTGTGATGACGGGAAAGTTACTTCATGACAGAAAGGTAAACTGAACATTGTAGATCCTTGAGTGGATCTGGGCTTAAAAATCATCATCGCGTTACATAAACTTCAAAACCTGAAAAACAATCAGAATTTACCATGTTTAGAAAACCTCTAGAGGTGGAGTGTTTGTGCAGCCTCCATATTTCTAATCTAGCTTCCTTCTTGAAGGGAATGGTTGAGTTGCTAAAACATACGTGATACAGTTTTGCTTGAGTTGCACGACACATCCTTGTCCCTGATTGAGAAAATCGTGCCATACCTCGAAATGCGACGGACTGGCAAAATTTTAGGAAAATACCGCTTTTGAGGGGAGGCTCGGGAGTGGACGTACCCCCATAACCGGCAAAGAGCACGGGTGCTAATTCCTCCTCCAGCCGTTAACGTAATCAACCCTTCTAAGGACTGCCAGCACTGCCGGGACAAGCAGGCAGGACGTGGGGGACTGGCAGGGAGCAGCAGAGAAAGACAGGACTTAACTGTGGCAGCAGAGGAATGCCAGCTCTGACACCAACTGGGAAATCCCAGAGAGACCAAACGTGAAGAAACAAAGAAGAGAGACATCACCGTTTGACTTCTGAAACAGCCAATGAACAGGTGCTAGGCCACTTTGCATTCTACCTTCCAACCAAAGTTCCCCAAACTTCACCCATCCCCTGTCCAGCTGATGCAATTTTTAGGGGAAGTGACGGTCTGTGAAGGACTCGTGCTCGTGGAAGAGACTTCTACTGTTCTGTGTTGACCACATGAAGAGTCAACATTAGGAGATAAGAACACAGATCTTAAATTTTAGCCCTGGATGGAATCTGAAAAACATCTCCTCCGCTACTCACACTAGGGACTTTCAAGCACAGAATATGGGCTGTGTGACTCTTAACAGATCTCCTTTGATGGCAAAATTCAGGAGCCAGTGAGCTGTCCCTAGATCTGACAGTGAACGTCTTATAAGAACAGAGGTTTCGCTTTGCTTAACTCTCTTGTGGTCTCTGCTTTCTCCATGAGAAAGAACCAAAGGGTCGGGCCACGCTGTATGCTATGCTGTGTCTCCAAGGCTAAATGATGCGCATTCTTAAATTTGCTTTCAAAGGGTCCTTCCTATCTTCTGATAGTGCACGTGGGGTGGCCCAATACTCATTCCGTATCTCAGACCTGTAGAGACGTGGAAAATTGTGCCTTAAATTCTAACATCTTCGTCCAACTGCATACCTCTGGCAATGATGATTTAGCCAGGAAAACTGTGCTAATACTCTATGTCCCGCACGTGCAATCTATTTTTGGACTACTGACTTTGGAAATGCGTATCTTCTCATTGTACGATCATGTAGCATCATCCTAGGCAATCACACTGGATTCCTTAATATTAGCTACAAGCACGTACTGAGTGTCCTGGCACCAGGCATGTGGATTTTTATAAGAAAAGCTGCAGTAAAACAGCATTCTGTGCAACACACACAAAAGAGCACTTACTTTCACCAAATAAGCAGAAACTCCTTTGCCGGGCTGTTGTGGTTGTTTTTAATGTTTATTTATTTTTGAGAGAGACAGATCATGAGCAGGGGAGGGGCGGGGGGGGGGGGGAGACACAGAATGCAAAGCAGGCTCCAGGCTCTGAGCTGTCAGCACAGAGCCCGACGCGGGGCTCGAACCCACGGACCGCGAGATCATGACCTGAGCCGAAGTCGGACACTGAACCGACTGAGCCACCAGGGCGCCCCTCAGGTTGTTTAATGGAGGCAGCAAGCAAGGATGCCCGAACAAAAGTTATCCAGGACATGCGGTGGTGAGCAGTGCTTTAGTCGCCCAACAGGTGCCAGGCAAGCATTCTCCAGGCAGAACAGCAGGACCAAAGTGCTGACAGTTGCAGCGACACAAAATGTAGCCTTGGCAAGTTGGTCTAACAATTACTTTGCATCATTCTGATTATGAGCCACAAGCATGCAATCAACAGCGCAGAGACGATCTTAAATGATCTCCATCAGCATTTTACTTTACTTATCAAAGCGTGGCAGATGGAACACACTCTCATCTGACCTCAATGCAATGTTAATGACCCAGACACAAAGAATGCCAAGGAACAACGGCGGTGCGAGAGCACTGGCCTTGCTGGGGGCCATTGGTTACAATAGACGCACTTTATTTCGTTCAGTTTTTCCATTTATTACCTCACCGTAGAAAAAGTAATATTTGTGCGTTTCTCATCTGGTAAATTTATCCACAGTCTAACTCAATGTAAAGATTTAAGTAAGTTTACAGATTCCTCCAGACTGAATATTGTGTGT